TGGTCAGGTATACGAAAAAGCAAGCCTGAACATGGTAAGAATTCAAGTTTTTTAAAGATTTCTTTTGAGCTATAAAACATCTGTAGATGAACAAATGAAATGAAGATATGTTTAATGCCCTACTGTGGAACATTCCTGGCAAAGAAATCACATCTCCATGGAAAAAAGCAAGTATTGAACCCTCACAGTGCACCTTTAAATGGTCAAATATATGAAGAAGCTGAAGAAGCAAGCCTGCACATGGTAAGAATTCATGTTTTTTAAATAATTTTTTGCGCTACAAAACATTTGTACTTGAACAAATGCGAGGGAAATATGTTTAATGCCCTACTGTGGAACATTCCAGGCAAAGAAATCACATCTCCATGGAAATAAGAAAGTAGCAGACCCTCACATTTCACATTTAAATGGTCAAATATATGAAGAAGCCGAAGAAGCAAGCCTGCACATGGTAAGAATTCACGTTTTTTAAAGATTTTTTTGTGCTATTAAACATCTGTACTTGAATAAATGCAATGAAGATATGTTCAGTGCCCTACTGTGGAACATTCCAAGCACAGAAATCACATCTCCATAGAAACGAGCAAATAGCGGACCCTCACATTTGCACCTTTAAATGGTCAGATATATGAAGAAGCAAGCCTGCACATGATAAGAATTCACGTTTTTTTAAAGAATTTTTCACGCTATAAAACATCTTTTCTTGAACAAATGCAAGGGAGATAAGTTTAATGCCCTACTGTGGAACATTCTAGGCAAAAAAATCACATCTCCATGAAAGTAGACAAGTAGCGGACCCTCACATTTGCACCTTTAAATGGTCAGATATATGAAGAAGCAAGCCTGCACATGATAAGAATTCACGTTTTTAAAGAATGTTTTGCGCTATAAAACATCTATACTTGAACAAATGCGAGGGAGATATGTTTAATGCCCTACTGTGGAACATTCCAAACAAAAAAAATCACATCTCAAAGTAGCGGACCCTCACAGTGCACCTTTAAATCGGTTTTGAAAGATCTGCCAAAAAGTCACGACCCCTCAGCCCCGAGGTGATGTCTGCGTGGGACTTTTGGGTTTGATAAGTTTGTGATGTACGCGCGTCAGCTGGAAAACAAACATGCGTGGATGGCAGCGTACGAGCGTATAAGCCTGCGGGTTAGTGAGGCTATCTGAAAGAAAGCTGGTTTAAAGGAAGGTTGTGTGTTTTTTGCACAGCTGCAGTTCTGTGATAAAGTAAAGAGCGGCCTGACAGGTGAGGCCTTGTGTCTTTCCATTTGCTGAGTTGTTTTTCGGTTTAAATTGGGAGAAGGAAGAAACAAGTGTAAAGATATGTTCTCTTCGACCCAGTTGTTGTTATTAGTATGGACATACGCGCTGCTGCTTGATGAGACACGAGATTGCTGACAGAATAGTCCTCCTGGGAGCAAAGATTAGGCTTTTTACAGAGTCTGCATAATGTTCTTACTCTTGATGTTAGGTCATGACAGTGTCGGCGAGTAATTACGCTGAGTTTTGAAGTTGTTTTTTTTTTTTCTGTTTTCTTCTGGTTCCAAAGTATGTTAGCATTAAATCATATTAAACATACACTGTGCAACTTTTCTGGTGGAGGGTCCGCTACCAGCTTGTCTCCATGGAGATGCTTTTGCCTTGTCTAAAATATTCCACGGTATATCTATCACAAGAGAGACAAGCAGGTTACAGCACGATGCTACTTTACAATTCAAATCTGTGGAGTCGCCCCTTTTCACAGAAGGAATGATTGTATTTTTGAGCAATAGAAACACCCACATGTGTTTAATGTCATACCAAGGAACATTCCAGGGGAAGCAATACCATCTGCATAGAGACAAGTAGGTGGTGGACCCTCTACCAGAAAAGCTGAGCAGTGCACCTTTAAGTAGGCCTAATTACAATAAACCAGTGTTTCCCAAACTTGTTTTCTGGGGGCCCATATTTTAAAAGTCACAAACCTCCGTGGTCAAGTCAATAGACATTATTCGTAAATCACAAAATAAAGGTGGACTTGACCATTACTGAACATTAATGAGGATATTTTATTGTTGACTGAGTGATCGTGTCTCTCTGAACAATTTTTAAACAATGAAAAACAGTAATTGAATGAGCAATAAAAGGTATCCATAAGTCAACATTAAATGCAGCCCATTTCTTTTTCTTTTCAACATTCAACTGAATCAGCAATACTGGAATAAAATTGTCAATAAAATGATTACAAACAGATTAGAAATGATACAAAACGTCTTAACATTTCAACATTTCTAATGAGATCGGTGGGCCTGTCTACTCTTTTGTAGCACGTTCCAGTCCGTGGTTTAGGAGAGCACAACACACATATCAGTGTGAGAACTGTATATTGAAGACCTACATGAGGTCGTGACAAGGCGACCAAAAATAAATCTCTTGTGACCCACCTGAGGGTCGGGACACAGTCTTTGGTAAACACTACAATAATGAATAGACCATTAGCAATTAGGTGCCATAGCAGGCAAAAAGTGAGCAATTTCAAATCATATTCAGGGAGTCTAAAAAAAGATGGATTCCCGAGCCTGTGCCTGAATTTCACTTTTAATGGAAATCCTACTAATTACATCTTCAACTCTCATCAAAGTAAACCATCTGTTAGCGGATAACTCTAAATCTTTTCCCCATGCGCCATCTGCTCCCCCAGCATAGGTTCTGTAGCATTCCTCACACTCACAAGAGGATGGATGACATATTTTTACTGCACCGATAAATGTGGAATTGCATTAATATTGATGACTGAAGTTTTCCTCTCTTAAAGTGGAATAGATTGTGTTCTTTTCTCTCACCATCTGTGAGAACGGCAGGAGGTCCTATACCTAACAATGTGCTGCTACTGCTAATTACCCTGCTAATGGTAAACACACTGATAGTATCTAATGGATGGATTACCATAACAAAGCATAGCGAAAGAAAAGAACTAAAATATAGTTAGTACAGATAAAAAAGTGCTTAAAGGCATCAATTGGTTAAAGCCTAACCTATAGTCCTATAATCCCTGTTGGGTTATATAGGCTATTTGTTTTATTTTAACCTTTCCAACAAATAAAGAAGAGGTCTACACTATTCCAATTAAAGGTGTTATACTCTTGTACTCTTGTGAGCTTGAAGCCATGCTATAATGCTGTTACCTCATCAAAAACATACTTGGGAGTTGTGTTTTGTTTCATTCACAGATGTCTGAGTCTGACAACTCAACTCCAAAGCAGAAAATGCTTTTTTCCACCTTGTGATGTCATGAAGTGGTAGTTTTCAAATTAAAAGTTACTTTTTACCATTTGTTTAGAAGAGATTGGCAATTCCAGATCAGAAAATAGCGTTATATAGCTCCATTAAAGTGCGTCTAATAGGCTGCAGATAAATTAAGCTTAGTGATTGGATCAGTGGACTTGTTTTAGGTTCATTAGTTCTCCAAGCTATGGTCTAAGCGTATTCCTATAGATCTATACCACTCAATCTAGTAGCAGATCCGTTATTATTAGATCAGTTTAGCAATGTTGGGGAGTAACGGATTACATGTACCGGCGTTACGTAATCAGAGTACAAATTATGAGTAACTATATTCAGTTACAGTTACTGTTTCAATGAGTGGTAATTGGATTGCAGTTACTTTGTTGAAATAATTGGATTACAGGGCGGTACTTTCCTGTTTTCACATTTTGGGCTAAACCAGGAAAAAAACAGGACCAAACCAGGACTAAACCAGGACTAAACCAGGTCTAAACAATATGATACCTAACAGTAGGGTGGACATAATTTAAGACAACAGTGATCTCATATAAAAATCATTTCTCTATCAATAATATTTTTAATACGGTTAAGGAGAAACTGGGCTTTTTATTGTCTTTTAGCAGACAAAACACTTTATGTTAAGATATCCTAGTCTTTGCTACTCTACAGCAAACCTATTCATGGAGACTTGAGCTGCCAATTTGAAGAGAGTAAACAAGAATTTGCAGGATGTGGTTGGTACATTCATGTAGTTTTAAAAAGCCTGACGATATCAAGTAATCCAAAGTATTCAGATTACGTTACTCACTTTAAGTAATTTAATGGATTACGTTACAAACAGTGTTGGGAAGGTTACTCTTAAAATGTATTCCCCTACAGATTACAGATTACATACACCAAAATGTAGTTTGTAACGGAATCCATTAAGTTACTTAAGGTGAAAAACGTAATCTGAATACTTTGGATTACTTGATTTGCTGTAGAGAAACAAAGACTAGGATGGTTTAGTCCTGGTTTAGACCTGGTTTAGATAGTTTAGACCTGATTTTAGTCCTGGTTTAGATCTAGTTTAGACCTGTTTTTTGTCCTGGTTTAGACCTGGTTTAGAAAGAAAATGCCCAAAATGTGAAAACAGGAAAACACCACCGTGTAATCCATTTATTTCAACAAAGTAACTGCAATCCAATTACCACTCACTGAAACTGTAACTGTAACTGAATACAGTTACTCATAATTTGTACTCTGATTACGTAACTCCAGTACATGTAATCTGTTACTCCCCAACACTGGTTACAAACTACATTTTGGGATATGTAATCTGTAATCTGTAGGGGAATACGTTTTAAAAGTAACCTTCCCAACACTGTCGGTTAGTCATTAATATGGGCTCATTTTGTTTGAGTGCCACCAAGAGAGTGAGAAATAACTCAATTGTCTTACTAAAACAATCAAGGCCAAGTAAGATAATAAGAAGCAATTGTCATCACAGTCTATTGAAATGTTTAGCCTAGTCATATTTTAATTTGGAATTTAGTGACTAAAATACTCACTTATTATTCAGTTATTGTGATTACAAAACATTGTAAGTCCATAGTGGGGCCATGCCGGAGGAGCGCTGCTTATCCCGGGACAGTCCGACCTCTCCCGCTCCACGCTCCGCCTCTCCCCGAGCTCCACAGCGAGACACCGACACAGCCTGCCTCCGCCCGAAGCCCCTTAGCTCCTGCTGCAGCCTGTTGGCTAACCTCCCCCCTGTCCTGTCCCCTGAACCGGACTATCAACTGGACTTTACGAATGCCTACCTCTTTAACCCGTACCTCGTGGAGTTTCGCCACTCGGATACCAACAAAAATCAAAGGAGAACGCGTAACCAAATCGGATAAGTTTTTTTTCTAAATGTATGTAGTTTTTTTGCCCCGTGGTGGGTACACAGACGAGGCAGGCCGGTGGAGGACGACAGGACGTATGATGTGGATTTGGTATCTTCTGCTTGGTTCGAGCTCGAGAAGCGTGGGTAAGTTTTTACGCACAAAAAGTAATAGTGTTGTCACGGCGCGGACACGCTTGAGTGTAGCTTCCAGATGGGTTTCCAGGAGGGAGGGGGCTGAAAGAACGCGTTTGAAGTATTGTACGCCAACTTTTTTGTCCTTGCACGAGTTTGCGCAACACTTTTTAGCTGATGTGTCAGGAGGAATGAGATTGTTGCCTTGGTCAGTCAGCGTGGTCTCTTATCTATTGGCTTCTGAATCTTCCGTGCACGCATGCCCTCCCACATCTGAAAGTAAATAGTATCCAGACAGCCTCCGCCGCGCCATATCCATCCAACGTGTGCGTTTTGGGGGCCAGCAGAGATGGGGTTATGGTCTCCTCTCCGGGCTAAGTTATTACCGAGAGGTTGTTGACAGGGCAATGTTGACAAGTCAATCTTTTTTCGCCCTTCTCCCTTTGGTTGTATCCCGCCATGGCAGCTGCAGTGTGGGGCCCCGTGGAGGAGAGTTTTAGTTTACACATGAGTAGGGGACTTGAAGGCCTGTACCTGTTTGGCTGGCTACGATTTGTAATGTTAGTCTAATGGCCTGTAACAGTGACTTAAATGGCTCATATTACACTATTTTCTAATCTTATAATCTTGTTTCCTCATCAAAAACACACCCAGAGTTGTTTTGTTTCATTCACAGTTTAAAACATAAAGCTGCATATTTAAGGTGAGTTCTTCTCTCTAACAGAAAACACTCTGTTCCACCTTGTGCTGTCATGTGGTAATAGTACAGGAAGTGCTCCAAACACCTTCACTAGAATCATTTGGATAATATCAGTCCTAGAATTCCCCATCGCAACTGAACTAAGGTAAAAGCTAGATGTTAAAGGGACAGTCCGGAATTTTGGATGTAGGACCTCATTTCCTCGTGAGCCAGAGTGTTGGAGACGTGCAGAGACACTTTTTAAAGTATTACATCCAGACCTTGTGTTTACAAAGGTTACTGGTGCTAGGGTAGGGCATGTCAATGGCCACAGTTAGCCTGCCACTAAAAACAGTCTTACCCACTCCACAAAACACCTGAAGCAAATCTATTATAACGCCAGAGTATTGATGTGAATGTCTGTGATGATAGAACAATGTTTGAAATAAAACTAACCTTCCATTTGAAGGATTTATGTCTGAGCAGCAGCAGAGTTGTACTTCCTGATAGAAAGCTCGGCAGCGGCGGACTGATATCACCTAGCATGCAAATCAGCTGGGAAATCCTCCCTGAATTGTACCCTCTATGAAATTAAGTTAGTTAATCTATATACAGGGGTCTACAACTTGTAGCTTGGGAGCTACCAGTAACTCACAACTCCCTTCCAAGTAGCTCGACAAGGGATTTCTGAATTACACATAGAGTGCTGAATAAGTAAAATTTGATTAATTAAATGCCTTTTACCATTGTGCATGTATCATGTTGATGCCAAACTTTGTGCACAAATAAATGGATAATGGTTTATGTTTTATAAGTATCTAACTGTACCTCATCTAAGGCTCACTGTGGCTCTTATATATATTCAATTTCCTGTAACCGCTAAAACTAGTAGCTCTCTGGCATTATCGTTTTTTAAAAGTAGCTCACCGGATAAAAAAGGTTGGAGACCCTTGTCTATATACATAAAAAAACAAAACAAAAAAAAAAAAACATTCTGGGACTGCTGTAGCATTTAAAAGCCCTAGCACCTATCTCACCGGCAAAGCAAAATTCCGCTGCTGCTGAGAAAATAGTCCCTCAACAAGCAACGATTCATGAGATGCAAGTTTAGTTTTATTTCAGACATTATTCTATCAACACAGACATTCACATCGACAGTCTGGTGTTATGGCTGTTTTGCTTCGTGTGCTTTGTGGTGTGGGTAAAATTGTTTTTAGTGACAGGATAACTATCGCCATAGCAGCAGAGACCTCTGCAAATACACGGACTGGAAGGAATATTTAATAAAGTGTATCCACATGTCTCGGACACTCTGTCTCACTAGGAAATGAAGTCCTATGTCCAAAATTCCGGACTGTTCCTTTAACTTGGAAACTACCACTACATTACATCACAAGGTGGAACAGAGCAAACAAAACACAGCTCCAGGTCTGTTTTTGATGAGGTAACTGCATTATAGCATGTCTTACAGTTCACAAGAGGCAATTTTGCATATTATAGGATGTCTAAAGCTGAAACTTGTATTCACAGTAAATTTTAGGCTGTCTGTCTTTAGCTATGGATAAAAGCCCTCCAAGAAAGTTCAATTCTGTCAACTGGACAAAGGTTTTTCAGTGAAAACTTTTCGCCTCTCACCCCAAGCCACTTCTTCAGTTCTGGTCAGATTGCTGGATGAGTGGCGAAATATCTTCACTTTGAAACTTTTGACAAGTTGACAGAATTGGATTTTTCTTTTGCTATGGATCATACCTGTCTGAATGACTGAAGAATTACACAGACAACTTGTTGCTAATACGAATAACTAAAAACATCTAATATAAATTAAGTCACATGAAACAGTGCTGCTTTTATAATTTTTATTTAGTTTCAACACATCTAACATTGCTTAATATGATCAAGAATGGTGATTAGCGCTGTAACCAAAGACCTATAACCTACTAGTGAGGCTCAGAAATGCTGTGAATGTTTGTTTCTATGGTTATGTCCTTGATCTGCCTGGAATGTTCCATAATATGACATTAAACAGCTCTCTGCCTAACATTTATTCAATTACACGTGGTTTTATAGCTCAAAAATACAGAGAAAAACATGCATTCTGTCTGAGCGAGGTTGCCTCTCCACAGATCTGACCTGTAACTTGGTCTGGTTTGGTTTCCATGAAGATAAAAAGGCTTAATGGCACACTGGGAAACTTTCCAGGCAAAGCAACACATGAACACAATGCACCGTTAAACCAATAATGGAGGATAGCGCCAAGCATCATGGCGTCTGTGGAGTGAAGAGTGAAAAATCAATGTGCTCAGTATTTGGTAACAATAGTTCAAAGTGTCATCTGGAATGTGTTGTGACTTGTTGCCTATAAATGTTAAAGAAACTTGGATAGTCTTTTGAGTAATTATAGAACATTCTTTTCAGTGACTGAAAGTATAATTTTATGTCTTTAAACATCTTAAATTAGACTGCTGATCTTAATTAGTCTCTGCCAAGAAACTGATTGATTTCTCTACAAACTCTTAGATGCACAAACACACATAAATACCATCCTGTTTTCAAATAGTGCTTCAGACCTGCAATTAACTGCTGTGGTCTGTGGTGTGCAAAGATGGTGCAAAGATGTTTCATTGTTGCCTCTGAATTTACACAATGGAGCATACTTTTTCTTTCTCTATGGCCGTCTTTAGCATGCACCATCTGCTGCTGTCAGTGCTCTGTAAATATGTGAAGGGAATGAGACATTATGCTTACTATTCCCCTCGTTCGTAGTATTTCCCATGTAATGTATACTGTTTGCTAACAGTCTTCATGCTATAGAAACTGTAGCATCAGGAGGTTTACGATTCTATTAGTATTCTACGCACACATATTGAACCAGTTACGCCTGGGCCATGTGACATTTCCTGACTTACTTTTAGATTTAAATTTGACATCCAGCCCTCATATTAGTAAATGCCTCATCCATTTAGCTACTTAAATCCTTTGCATTTATATGATAATCAAATGTTGACATTTGAAGAATGTCACTGGCCATATTTGGATCAAATTTACAGGTGAGAGAAGATGATTTATGGTTTACACAAGGTCTCCATCATGCATATCAAAATACTGTACCAACTCAACCATAAAGGCTTCTGGGACAAAAGAACTGAGGCCCATTACGGTGCAGTGCCTACAGTGAAGAGTCAAGAGTAGCTTTAGCAGTGTTGAACACAAGAGATTCCAATAAGATAACATTTTGGAGATATTGACATCACCCACACAAGCTGGATACATTAGGCTGAGTCAATGTTTACACCAATCTATATATATCTGTATGCCAAAGGTGTAGTAATTTGCATATTATCCCAATTCTGGAACACTCTCATATAACTTTTTTATGTTTGTATGTATTTTACTCATTTGAAAATGTTTTGTGTATTTTAAGTCTGTAATTATCCACTCAGGAAAATATTAAGAATTGGATTCCCATGTCAATAAGACCTGCAGATGAAATAAATACATAAAACCCAGAGGGCAACATTTCAAGACCATGCAGGAGAGCCTATTTTTGTCATGTTTGTGCATCCTGTGGCAGTGTGGCGTCGCACTATTGTGAAAGTGACATATGAAATCCATTGAAAACCACTTGAACGTAGAATACAGACTATTTAATCAAACAAGGCGGCCTTGTAGCCCTGCAGCCCAGTGTTCGCCCACGATACTACATAAGAGATTGTTGTGTAATGTTAGATTTACCCACACAATCCACTGACAATGAATCGTTGTGGTACGGCCATTACATTCTGCTGTGCTGCCTGAAGATATATTGTAGCTGTTTAGCCAGTCTACTCAGCCCACAGCCACTGGGAATTTATCGATATTAATAAATTGAAGAAAATGTCAGAAAGATGAATTGACTTTGGATTGGTTGTTTCTCCCTACTGCTGGGGATGATGATTGCTTGTTAAAAATGAAAACAATGATAAATGCCAACTGCGTTTGACTATATTGGAACCAAAATTATGCCTGTCTATCGGCATAACTGGGACTAGCCATGTTTCTGGCAAATAATAAACTGCCTTTAAGCAAGCTTTTGAAACTATGCACAAAGGAAAATGCTAATTATATGGATTTATAACACCAAAAGAAAAACTAAACAAAAGCATATATCCTTTTGAGAGTTTATGAGATAACAAAATCGCCGTAAATGGTTCATGGGATGGAAAATAAACCTTACGTTACAACCTCAAAAGATTATTACAGCTATAAACTTGTAGTAGAATTTCTTTCCATTCTGTGGTCTGTTTAACCATGCAGCATCTGCTCATGTCAGAGTTCAATGTAAATATCATTACTG